ACTTGTGGGCTGCTCCCTGCGCCTGCGCGCGCGGCAGCTGTCTTGGGCCCGTTTCAGAGAGGGGAAGGTGGGGCTTTATAGCAGGAAAGTGAGGTGGCCAAGGGCAGCAGAGGCGTGGGATGTGAGCCCATGTTTTGGGGTAACAACTGGAGGCGGGTGTCAAAGGAGGAGGTGCGTCTAGTCGCTTGATTTCCAAAATGAAACCGGGCCATGGCAGATGGAAGAAGCAGGAGGCTGGTTGGAGGCCGGCACAAACGGTGTCTTCCCAAGATGTTCGGTCGGTGTGATGGTCACACGTGCCAAGCTCTGGAGGAAAGATCCCACCTGAGTTGCATGCAGAGACCTGCTTGCTTTATGCAAATGATCACCCAAATTATTCATTGCAGGCCTCCCGTTCTCTGGGCCAAGTCGGGGTCAGGAGGCAGATGGAAGCTGCCATGAGCTAGAAGGCTCCAATGAAGCAAGATGTTAAATACTTCCTGAACACGAAATACTCAGGCTTCAAATTCAAATACGGCTGCCAGTTCGATATGGACGGCTTGTCCAAGGACGGTGCCTGAAACCTTCAGTTAAAACTTATGAAGGTGAGCAGGACTTAGGTTCAAGTCTCTTCCAGGCCCAGATGATGCAAACGTGCCCACAGTGTGGGGATAGCCCAGTGCTGCTCAACCTTTTTAGGCTCAAGGCACCAGAAGCACCCCGTTGGAAAATGCCAGCTCTTGGTTTTCACTATTTCTTGACTATGGGAAAACAACAGAGCAATTTTTCTGGGCCACAACAGGTTAAAATGCTTTTAACACTCGATTCCTTTTTGAAATCTCTGGATTTATCTTGCGAATTTTGTTTGTATAACCTAACAGTGTTAACACTGTGTGACTCCATTGCAGCACACTTGAAAGGATATCCTGGCACCCTAGGGTGCTGCAGCACCCTGGGTGAGAGTCACTGGTACAGGCATTAGTGTAGTGTGGCATTCACAAACCTTATGCTTGAGATGTGCAAAAGTAAAATAACTCAGGTTGACTTTCTGAACTCATCTTGAGTTTTTAGAGTTTGCAGTTGGAAAAAAATTAGCTGTCTGGTGTATTTGTTTTGGATGTACGCACAACGAACATGAAATATCACAATGACACATTTCCAGTAACCTCTCATAGGATTGAACTTTAAAACCATTAATTTAAACATGTTCTTTTTAAGAACAAAAAACAATACAAAATAAGTGTACGATAAAGTAGAATGTGGCACAGATTGGAAGTTTTAAACTACAAACGAAACTTTATTTCACTAAAATCAGCACAAAAAAAAGTCACCAAAATATTAAATCAACATCTATTTTAAGTATAACTCGTCTAGAGTTGGAATTATGGTTACAAAAGAATAGACAAAAATAAAAGGAACAATCTTTAAGTAAACAAGGAGCTGAATCTTCTGATTTGAGTATGATTGCCACAAAATTGCAAATTTCTGCATCTTTTGTATATTAGCTCCAAAATAAATCAACTTTTGAAAATAGTTGGTTTACAAACAAATATTCAGATCCATCCACCAAATCTCAATTTATTTGGTAAATAAACTCTAGATAGATAATCTGATGAAAGAGAAGTCAAAGCTTGAATTTCAGCCTTCATTTTAGATGCTGCCATAATTTCCATCTGAAAAAGAAAACCCAGTAGAAACTGATATATGTCTGATAACAGCTTGACCCCTGGGGTGATGTCACTGTTAAATACATTTTAAATAACATTGTTTGATGGATAAAAATTGTACTAGAAGTTTTGTTGGCATGGCCCTGCATAATATATTAAGAATTTATTTTATCACAGATCAATATGCTTTCCTCTGTTGAGCAGCATGTAACAGCAAAGTTGCAGCAATTTATCAGCAGCCAGGTGTAGCAGAAGAAAGAAGCAGCTATGCAGTATTTTTCCTACCAGCTAACTACTCTATTTTAATTTGTTGGGACTGAGCTACATGGCTTAAAGGTACAGCTACATATGGGGTATAAATAGTTGATCTAAATGGCAGTTCCTCGTGTGCAAGAGGTGTAGTGTATTCACAATATTCACAACGACTGCAGAAGAACTCCCAAAAACACATAATCTCTGTAACATGATGACCATGATGACCAATGACGGTAAAGCCTAACACGCTGCCAGTCCTTGGCTGGGGAGACTTGAAGCCTACCGATTCAGGGAGACAGCTAGTATGGGTACTCTTCATCCTGCCCACTTCTAGTGCAGCAAAGCCTTACTGATTCTCCTATGTTAAGAGCTCTTTCTAGTCAAAAGGAAGGGATTCTAGTAGATAGGATTTGCCCTCGAGATTAAGAGCAAGAAAACAATATGATTTATACATACTTCTTTTTTCCACTGTGGTTGGCAAGCAACATACGGTCTCTTCTGCATACTGTCTAGTTTATTTTGATCTCGTTTAGTAAGTGGAATTAAAGCATCTTTCCGTATATTTAATCTGGAGGAGCACATAAAAGTAATAGCTTGCTTAGTACTTAATTAAAACATGACATTGCTTCCAATTTAATTTCTTGTTTTAATCAGTTAAAGTGATCTGTAAAACTAAACAGGCTTAACTGTCTTTGATTTTGTCAGGTTTCTTGTTACTTTTACTTACGTTTTGTGGTAAAACAGAAGCATAGTTATATTTCTGCTAGAAAATAACTAACCTTTCAACATCAGATGGAAGGAGACCAAGCCACCTTATAGCTGGAATTGTGAGACGGTGGGCTTCAAAAGACATTGACTAAAATAGGAAATGTCAAACATTGTTGTCAGTATTCCCTTAGCTTGTATTATTTGTCTTTGAGAAAATATTATTGCCTTTCTAGGCCAGAGTGAAATTGTATAACAATAGCACTAACTAGAAGCCGAAGTAGAATTCCAAATGAAATTCAAGCTGGCAAGAGCAGGGACAGAACAGTGAGGGGGAAGTGGGCAGACCCAGAACAGTAGAGAGAAAAGCTCCTGCTCCAGACATGCTCCCTTCCCATAGCTAGGAATAACTTTACTTTTTTCTGGTCTAGTCTCTATAGTTTCTTATTCTCTCATCACTGGATTATCTAAGAGTGCCATTCAAAAATTTAAGTCAGCAGGAGCAGAAACAAGTAATTGGAAATATTGTGATGGAACAGTTTTCTATTGGAAAATGCTGATTCAACAAAGTCAAAATGTTGTATGGGAACATGGTAATTTCATTGCATTTTCCAGTTTAAAATAAGTAGGCTTCCCTTGGAAACCTGCCTGATTTCCTGCCAGCTCACCTGCCTCCCTCGCAGTGGTTGAGAACTAGCCAGCACAGAGCTGGGCATCTGGAAAACTTGGGAGCCGTGGCTCTCGGTGGTTCCAGCCTTGCTGCTCAGTGCAAACTTTGGGCTACCAAGTTAGCTACAGGTCAGTCGTATCTTACGTGCATTTAACTTGTGCAAATTCAACTATACATGGGTGGGTGGGGGAGCGGGGCTTGAGCTTGCATGCAGCACTGCCGCTTACCTGGAGGCCCATTATGGCGGGGGGAGACACCGCCCCCCAAACATTCCCCCCTCAGCCGTGCCCGGAGCTGTGTGGCCAGCCGCCGGGCGGCAAAGGCAGCGTGGTGGTGGCCGGGCAGCATGCAGCCATCCCCACCACCAGCCTGTGCTGTGCTGCTGCCACCGGCCGCACAGCTCTAAGCACGGCGCCATGTGCAAACTCAAGCCGCGCCCCCCCTCCCACCCCAATTTTCACCTTACGCGATTTTCGCTTTATGCGCTGACTTCAGCACCTAACCCCTGCATAAGATGCGACTGACCTGTACATACCAGAAAGTCTGGAAATGGCTGCCACGTCCTCAAACAGAAAGCGGAGCTTCATAAATTTGTCTTGGAAAAAAAGTGAAACAAGGTATTTTTCAATGAAATAACATACTTCCCATTCCAAGGAAAATTTCAAAATATCAGTGTTTTGTTCTGATTCACAATCTTCTATTTTTTAGGGATTTGTTCCCCCATTTTCCTTCCTTCATCCATGGTGTAACCTGTATCCTCTTAGGGCAGTGGCTATCTTATGCTAGGCGTACCACATTGGTCTAGTACAACAGGGCTTTCTTATCAATTTAAATCCTCTGACTACTAGTAATAATTTGAACAGCAAGCATAACTTTCTATTTGTCAGATTTAAGAAAATGAGAAGTCTGCCATTTTCATCCAGTTGGGTTTGTTTTTGCAAAGGCATTTTTTCAAGTGGCCAAACCCTGTTGGGAGAAAATGTATACAGGCTTGGGCCTAAAAGTTATTCCTTAGTATTAAACTAAAAACAAGATAGGCATACCATTTTTACATTCAAAGCTCTGACATAAAATGCACTAGAAAAAATTATACTCACCAAAGATCCATACTTGTAGATGCACATTATTTCTATACCTAATTTACAGAATACCAAATGTCACACTTCTTTGTCTACATTTGGACATTATTACCCACTGCATTATTTTAGTTTTATGTTTATTTCATTCTACTTACATAACACGAATGTAGCACTGGGGTGGTACAATGATAAGTTGGGCTCTTTTGTTTTACAATTAGCTTTACAACATGTTGTCAAAAATTATACAATCAAAGTAGTAGATATTGTGACACATACCTCAGTATATTTAATATTTCATGCCTAATATGAATAGTGACCATAAAAAAGGAATAGCTACTTGATCTGTCTTTTACATATTGTACCCAGTCTATCATAAAAAAAATATCCTTACTTGTCTAATTGTAATTCAAAACTGAAGAGGTAGTGTACATATATATTTCATACTTTTCATTTAAGGAATTTTAAACATTAAATTAATGCACTTTTATTTTAATTTGTGAAATGTATTTTTTTTTCTTTTCACAGTGTGATGATCAGTGTTTTCAAGCGTACAATAAATGTCCCTCAGACTTTGGTAAAAAACAACCAGTCTTCCAAAAGACTATCATAGTAATCCAAATGAACACAGGAGGCGTGCCTAAACTTAATGCAAATTAGCCTAATGCACATTAAGGTGATATAGGTGTGTATCTACACATGCACGCACTAAGGTGCATTAACACAGGTGTGCAGACTGACTTAGGACTAAAGTTAGTCCTAAGTCAATGGACACAGACCACGTTAATGTGCATTAGTGCGTCTACATGTTTGCTAATGCCACTTAGCTATTTGTGCATAGATTTGATACCTGCTTTATGTGGGTATCACATTTAGGCTCAAATAACCTAAAATCACCATTTTAAGGTGCATTAAGGGTGTGCACATGTAGATGTGCACCCTTAATGCACCTTAAATTGGGCTAATGTGCATTAAATGTGCATGTGTAGACTCGCCCAGGATATTTTAACATTAAACAGTCCCACTGAAGTACATTGCAAAAATCTTATTGACTTCAGTTGCATAAGGATTTCACCTATTAACTGTGGGAGTGCATGATAACTTCTCTCAATCTACTTCCAAAACAAACCTATGTAGTATACAGTAAGGCTCTGTTAAAATAGAATATTTAATTAGCCAAGAACAACTCTTTCATAGATAAAGCATATTTTACATTTAGACCATTGTTTGAACAGTCAACAGTGTGTTCTTAAGCATGGTTAGTGTCTTTAGTACTTTATTGTCCTAAGGAAAACAGAATATCCTATACTATGCAGTGGAATGTACTACAAGATAAAACACTACTATTCTAGTGTTTATTTTCTGTAAACTAGGACACTGAGAACACTTTTTGTGAAATAAAAAAAAAAATCCTCTCCGAATTGATGATTTACTTAGGCGTTTAAGTGAGTTGTTTTGGGTTCAACTTTTGTTTTTCTCTTTCAGCTTATCATTTACATTTATAATTTGGTTATAATTTTCTGACTTGAAATACTAGTAATTTATCATTCTAAATATTAAAAATTCGTAAACATTTTAATGCTGCTTTTTAATCAAAGGTCTTTCTTATTAACAGCATTATGGAGAGAAAATTCACCTTGTTAAACCTTATTGTGGTTCAAATCCCAATTAATTATCATGTGTTAGTATTGATAATGGAGTCTCCTGTTTCATTAAAACACAGAAGAGCTACTGAGCTGCCGATTTTTTCAATGGAATTTCATGACGGTACCTGGCTGAAAAAGTCCTGTCAGGATAGGAACAGGGGAAAGCAGATGATTTCTTTTAGCATCTCATGTTTTATACCTCCTTTTCAATGGTACCATTTCCATTTCAAGTTTTAATTATAAACCTTCAAATGATCTGGGGTTATAAATCTGTTAAACCAAATTATAACTTAATTTGGAAAAGTTTGTATTAATTAGGTTTTGTCCAAATTCTACATAGCAGAGCCTACAAGTAACTACCATGTGGATCTGCATCCATAAGAGTGAAAATGGGAGTTTGAAATGTATCCCACAGCTTTCTGACCAGAAGCCTTGTGTTCAGATCTGGGACTCCTTTTCCCTAAGGAAACAAAAGAAAATCAGAAGTGTTTTTAAATAATTAAAACAAATCTGAGAGCACACATTCCTTGGCCTGCCAAAAAAACCCCAGCAAAAACATTTATCCTACAGATATTGTATTGGGATAAGATAGCTGCCTCCATTCTGGCTCCATGGTAAAATCACAAAATATTGTGGCAGATGTCCTGAATGACAGGCACCATAAAGGAAGTGAGGAAATGTGTAACTTATGGGAACTACCGAGATTCAACAAAGTATATGAAGACAGTCTCAAAATAATATGTCCCCTGGTGCTTTCATATTGATACAAATCAAATAGATAAGAGGGTCTGAATACAGCTGGTCTTAGCTGATAATAAGCATATGTCCAATATGCTGCAAAATTAGCATTAATGTGGGTATCTCTAAGGCAGTGGTTCTTAACCTTTTCAGACTTGAGGCATCCCCTCAGAAAATGGCAGCTCATAGTTTTCACTCAATTTTTGACTACAGAAAAATAATCGAACAATTCTTCTGTTGCAAGGAATTCAGAAAGACCACAACAGGTCCAATTGTTTTTAATGCTATGGATCCTATCTGAAATCTGTGGGCGTTTTCACATGTGCTCCAGAGGCTGGTGGTGGGTGGGGAGGAGGATGCTTTAATTAGAGCAGCTTCAAGAGCCGCTCTAGTTAAAGTGCCTGCAGCATCTTATGTATCATCATTCCCACGCTTCAACAAGTGTTAAAGCACCCCCATTAATAGAGTCTGCTCTGATGTGCTGTAACTAGTGTGTTAGAGCAGCCTCCCTGCATGTCTACAGGCACCCTATGGGTTTATCTTGTGAATCTTTGCACACCTAATAATGCTAACATTGTGTGCCACAGCACCCTGGTTAAGAGTCACTGCACTAAGGTGTAGAGGAGGTAAGCTGATTTCCCTCCAGTGGTCAAAATTTGCTCCACAGCTCCCAGCTGTACAGTCCCACAAATTCTGCAGATTCCATTACCCTTTCAATACAGTCCTCTAAACTGGGTGTGGCCAACCTGTGGCATGAGTGCCACAAGTGGCACAGCAGCCTGTGTGTGCGGCATGTGACAGGTTAGAGAGGACAAACAGGACAGCAGCAGATAGGGAAGGAAACAGGAGGCAGAGCAGGAAAAGCAGGCAGGGAGCACAGGGCAGGGAGTACAGAGTACAGAGTCAAAAGCAGATCAGCAGTGGACAAGGATCAGAGTGGCATTCAGGGAGCATGCCAAGCTAATTTGTGCCCTGCCTGCCAAAAAGGTTGGTCCCCACTGCTCTGCAGTAACTCACAAACTCTGCCATGCTGCTTTCATATTGTGGCACAATAGGTTTACTAGGGTTAGGAGCCTAGAGATTTAAAGAAGAACAATTTTAAAAGCCATTCTGAGATAGAGCAGGAGTGTTACAGGTCAGCTGCTGTCCAGTGGGATAAGCTGACACCAGTTTTGTAGAGGTGTATAAAGGAACATAGTTGTCCCACGTCAAGGGAATGAAAAGCATTATAGGTGATGAGTTAGATATGCAGATCAGAGTGTGGGGAACACAGGAACTTCTCAGTTATCACACAGAGTGCCAACTCTGTTCTTATTTGTCATAATTACCAGGCAGACCACCCCTCTATTCCCTTCCTGGATTCTCTAAGCCCACTTTCTTCAGTTTTTAGGAGGATGGAACCATGTAATTCTGCCACTGTCAGGCCAAATGGTGGACTGCAGTCTGCTATGTATCAGCCATGATCACCTCAGCAGGCCTGAATTACATGCAGGCTTGAATCTGAGGCAAAAGCCAGCAGTAATTAGCAATCAAACCTTTCCTAAAGGAAAATATTATTTGTTTAGAACAAAAGCATTTCACAGGAAAAAAAATCTTAGAAACAATAAAGCATATTATATGTATACCTTGTTCATCTCTAAGACTCATTATTCCCTGGGCATCAGTGGACAGAACTCCTTCTGACATCTCCAAAGAACCTGTCTGCATCAGCTTGTCCTGCTAGATAGCTGCTGGCAACTTGACCCCTCACTCATTACTTTACAACACACAATTGTTAGACCCCTACCAATATACATTTTTAAGTCTCTCTTGATAGCTAGGTTACATAGCAATACAATCAAGAGTCTTATAGAAGGCTTCCTATTGTATTCATAACATTATTACATATCACCTGGACTTTTAAGACAGAGACCATACTAAAACATCAGGAGACTCTTCATTGATATTAAAATATGCTAAATCAAATAGATAAAATCAAAATCTGTGCAATCTCAAAACAAACCCTTAATTTATGGATTCATTTAATCAACTGTAATGCCTTCTTTTAACAGTGTGTCTGTCATAGGATCATAAGGTATTAAAAAAAATACTATGCTACATATTCCATGTTCCATACTGTTACTTGGTGAAATGATGGTACTAATGACAGCCTTATTTGCTTAAAGTTTATGGCAGAAGTGCTTATAAAATATGTATTTTCAAATATGTATAAAAACATTTTTCTTTGAAGAAAAAACTTTTTCTTAGTTTTAACTATCATTCTGCTCTTCTCCATTTTTTTATTATTAGGTTAATGGTGGGAAATTCTGGCATTAGAGATGACTTGCTCATTTGAATACATGTTTTTAACACTCTTTGAAAATCACTGCAATGTTACCATACTGTTCTTAGTTCTAAATATACAATATGAAATGTCAGCATACCGTAATCATTATGCACGGGGACAGTTTATTGCAGAAGTCATCATCCAGGAGCCTCTGAAAAGTGGCATCTTTTTCTACAATTAGTATAAATTTTGCATCTGAGATCAAATCTTTCAGACTAAGGTTAGCAACCTGTAAAATGAAATCTGTGGCATTCTACTGCTTTAATCAACCAAAAATGAATGCTCTAATATACATGTTCTGGAGCCAAAGGCAGTTCTCATAACTCAGTCTCAGAGCAAACATGGGCAGAAAAAAATTACCAAAACATTGTTTAACTTGGAATATTCTTTGTTTATACTTTATTTTTTTAGTCTACAACTAGAGTTCTTGCTTAAAGGATACTTCTAATTCCTTGAACATTAGACGGCACAGAGACTGCCTAAAATAACAAAAATGAAATTAATCATTTTAAATAGAGAAAATGATATATTTTAAAATAACAACATTGGGTAATGAAGGACAAAATTACATCCTGAAACAACCATTCATCTTTTTACATACAGACTCATTCTTAACACCTTCAGTGTTTTATAGGCATACTTAATCTTATAGATCCTGCTGTGAAACATGGGCATGTAGAGATCCTCCTTCAACAATAAGGCATGTTTCAAAAGTGCCTTGTATGTGCTACTTCCATGCAGGATCACTCATTACATTGCAATGCATCTCCCATTTTCATCTGTCTTCTCCAGGAAGAAAGCCACGCAATGTGAAGCTAAGTTAAGGCATGTTTAAAATGTTTGTTAAAGATCTCTACAATGGATATTTAAATTCCTTTTGTTAATCTGTCCTTTGAGTTTGTTTTATATTTACAAGTCTATCATAGCAGATACCCTGAGATATGGTAAAGTTTGCTTCATATTTCATATTAGGATTTGGGTTAACCAGGCAAGCATATGGATGAGAAAACAGGCACTGGAAGAAGCACTTGGCAAAATAGTTTGTATATATTGAAGTGTCTGGTTTTCTTTTATTTCTTACTTTAATATCATTACAGGTGCCAATGTGGAACCACTCAGTGAAGAAATCTGAGAAGCTGTAAAGGACAACTAGCAATGGGGATCTTTAAGGTTCTGATTCAAACAACAAAATAGAGATAGAGAGATGAGGTCCTCTCCTGATTTTTAAATCAACCACTTGTGCCTAGAATGAGTACAGTTTTCCAGGGTAAAACTAGGAGTCAGAAAATCTGACTTCTGTTCCTGGCTTTGTTTCACAATCGAAATCATTGGGTTACACTGGTGTAAAACTTGTGTAAATAAACATACAGCTGGGTCAGAAGCAGAGATTCCTTCCTGGCTTGATTTACTATTTGGTCTGCACTACTTCTAGTAGAGATCCTAGCAGCATGCCAATTTCAAAGCTCCTAGAAAATGGGGTCACAGCCATGCAAAAGAGCTGATCTTTGCTTCCAGGAAACCACTTTGACACAGGAAACTCCAATACAAAGCACCTCTTGGGCAAAGCAGCCACTGGTAGAGCCCCCCTCGCTCCAACCACAAATTGTGTGTCAACCTCTGTAGAACAAATATGGTAGAAGGCAGTACAAACAGAGTTTGCCTATCTCAACGGATAACTGCTCCTGTTGAGCATAGACCAGAGTCCTGAAATTACAGTATTATAGCAGGTAGTAGTTACATTTACAAGTAAATTTAAAAAGTGAAGGGAAACTAATTTTGCAGTGTTTTCTCATGCAAAACTTCTGCTGCATCCCATAGGAATGTTGAGGGTACTGTATATGCTTTGTAGAAACGGGGCTTCAGTCTTGAGGGTTTAAAAGTATGGCAGAGGCTAAGTTTACCTTAAGCACAGTTGTACATGGTAAACTAGGTCACAACATATATAGGAAATCAGCAAAATATGAACATAAAATATTACTGTTAGTAATACATACTGTTGCACTGCAGGTACAATTCACTTTTGTTCCATCTTCCTCAGTATAACTTAAGTTACCAGCAATGCAACCTTTAGTTGTAGACATCTGAAAAAATGGCAGCAGCTCAAGTTTTATATACTGTATTGGAAATTATAATGTGAATTCTGTACATAGGATAGGAAAAAATGGTGTCAACTAGAAAATCTGAGCAGAATGAGCTCAGTTACCAGCCACCGCTCTCATAATTATAATAGGTAGATTTGGAGGTAATTCAATCTATAAATAATATATGTTATTATTTGTGTTTACGGGGGACATATGCTCACAGATTAGAAGGCATGAGGCACAAGTAACTTTTGAATATTTTCTGTCAATTATCACCCATGTCCATTACAATAATAGTTTTTATTTCCAAAAAAATGTTTGCCATTTTTTAACTGATCATTACCCTACTTTTTCAGTTTCTTGAATAATGAAATTAATGATTGTAAAACACTAACAATAAACAGACTTACTATATGTAGACTTCTTCTCGGTATCTTTAGCATGCAGGAAATGTCATTGACTATATTATCCACAATACTCTGGTTACCAAATAGTTGGGGATCGGTGTAATATATATCTCTATTGAGATAGAATATTGTATATGTAATAATAAAGTAATTTTTATGCAGTGATGATAGAGTCATAGGATTCTGAGATTGCAAAAGAATATTTTAATAGAACATGAATCAATCTGAAACTTTGTACCTACAAAAAAGTGTTGTCTAACAGATTAATATCTAGGTTGTTTGCTTATCATAATACAATTCTTAAAATAATTCATACAATTCTTATAATTTTGATTTTCAGTTACAGAAATTCAACATATTACCTTTTAGTTGCATAAGTATTGTTCTGTACCATCCTATAGATCATGGATAATATTTTAAGAATTAGAGCTGGAAAAGAAAAAAACATTGCATGTAATATTTTTAACTTATAAAGCATTAAAGTAGAGAATAAACAAGCTAAATTATATTTTGAATGCAAGCTTTCTGCATAAGATCTTATTCTGAAAGTTTCTTCTTCAGGTTTTCCAATTATCACTCAGCTGCTTGGGAAGGTGCACGTCCACTCACTAATTAGGTGCCGGTTACAAGAAGTGACAGGCTCTCTCCTCCTCCAGTTTTTTAAAGACGTGCTCTATTTTGAGGCCTCTCAAAAGGTTTCCTTAGTTGATTAATATTTAATCAGGCAGAAAAAGAAAAGTGTTCCTGGATTAATAGGGCATAGCCAATCAGTCTGTCAGTTACATTTTCATGACCTGAGAAGAGAGCAGTACAAGGCTATCTAAACCACATGAATCTTCTATAGACCAGCAGCCATAGAGATTGCTATTTACTCAATTACTCTTTTTAATAGGAATGCTCCTTTTTGATTATTATGTATTTCCACTACTATTAACACTGTGATTTAATAGAAAAGTATAAAGTTAGTTAAGGATTGTCGGTTAAAAGATATAGTTTATTTTTATTGGATGTATGCACTTTTAAAGACTCCCAAATACTATGGTATGATAAACAAATCTAAAATCCAAGGAAAAAATTGTCAGACTTTTTAAAAGCTTAACTTTTTAAACTTACCAAATTTTGGCGCTGATTTAGGGCAGTCACTTCTTATTTTTCTTGTAGTACAATGAGATATCATTTGTAGGCCTATGGACTCTGTAAACCTGAGAATTTATGAACAAATAAAAATATAAAATTCTAAAGATATGATTAGTTATTCATTGCCTAAGAAATCATAATAAGGCCCCATTACTCAATCAGATCTTCCAGGGTCATTCTTAGGCCCCATGCAGATCCCTGTTAACACCAGGCTGAAATCATCTGGAAAGCTACTGTTACTGGCTATGTGGGGATGACCAAGGAAAAAGAGGTCTCAAGAATCCCTGCTGGCCAAATAAATTAATTTACTATCACAACCCTGAACTTATCCAGCTATCCTGACACTTCTAATTCAATAACATGCTTATTATTTCCATCCAATTATTCAAAATTATGAAAAACTAAAAGAATTATTTTAGATGACTAACAGTATTAGCAAAGCACCTCAGTCCCTCTCTATAACTACGTCCATGGGAAAACATTTTGTTTTCTGTTGTCTCAAGACAGATTCATCTGATGTCTTCTTGTTAGTTCCACAGTTTCAGATTTGAAGGGCTCTAGATGTGCAAAGGAAACATGTTGCATAGTGTTTTTTCTTAATACCACTTTTTTATTATAATGTAAAAAATACTTCTATAATATTTCTTATTACTATCATTTTTTTCTGCGTGACATATTTTCCACACAGGGGTTCTGAGTATATTAAAATATTTGAAAACAGATAACTGGTATGCTTTAAAAGTATCGGTGTTACTATGACCATAAAAGTTTATGGTACTCCAACATAATGTGTATTTCTTCTTTTGTCAAATGCATTGCTTCTCACATCCTTTGGGTGGCAGAAGACACCACACAGCATATGGATATGTAAGGGAAAAAATTGATAAGCCGAACAACCTAGCACTATGCCTTTCAATCCTAATTATTTACTATTACTTTGTAACTTCACTGATAAATTGAAGTACCATCTTTAAACCTCAGAGAACACAGAAGGCACCACTGTTTTAAAAGTGTCAGCGTTAGACTTATTAATAATTAGTAGGGATGTATTTGGTAGTCATGTTGGTTTGAGACAAAAAGAAATGCAAAACTCTAGAACTCTTGGTTTAGAGATGATATCTTTTATTAGACAAACTAAGACATCACAAAAAAATTGTCTTTTTCTGCAAGCTTTTGAGCTCACATGCCCTTCATCAGGCTCAGGGGAAATTAAAGATGGTAAAAAGCCCCTACAGATAGGAAAAGACACATTTTTTGCAATTTCTTAGTTGGTCTAATAAAATATATCATCTCTGAACTAAGAGTTCTAGATTTTTACATTTCTTTTTGTCTCAGACCAACACGGCTACCAAATACATCCCTGAAACATGAAAGATGCTGAATTTTAGCCCATTGTGGATTTTAAATTTAATTGCTGAACAACAAGAAAGATTTCTACACCACCCTGCTTGCCATCTGACACCACCACGGAAGGAATCCTGCCTGATCTGCACAACAAAGAGCAACTCACAAAGACACTCTCAGGGATCCAGAGGGACAGGCCTCCATCTTCAGCTTCCTCTGTGAAAAATGAAGTTTATTTCCTACTTATAGGGACTTTTTACCATCTTGAACTTTTCTTGAGCACGATGAAGGGTGTGAGCGCCCAAAAGCTTGCAGGAAAAGATTTTTATTTTTTTTTGCAATTTCTTAGTTGGTCTAATAAAAGGTATAATCTCTGAACCAAGAGTTCTATATTTTTGCATTTCTTAATAATTACTAGTTATAAGGATAATAGCACCAAAACTGCACATGGTGATTTATAGTTAGTATGTTTAGTAATGAAAGTTATGAAAATCTTCTAAACCCATTGCATTTGTCTTTTCATGCAGAAACAGCTCTGTCGCTCTTGGACTGCAGCACTGCAGAGAAATATTTCTGCCTTCCACTTGCATGCTCAATACACTCCACCAGATTGACATCATATGCCATAGTGTATGAAAAATCCTGAATTTAGGGAGCAGTAGGTGGAGGGAATTCAGAAAAGAACTGATCTTGGATTATGTCAAACACTGAGCAGTGTTGCTCGGCTTCCCTTTCACTGCAGCAGAAGAGTACCCTCTTGAATCTTCTTACCACAACTACAAAATACTTTCCTTTTGTGAAGGAGGTACACTTGGAAAGGGAAAGTACTATAGGACCAAGTTTATTCATTTTTAGGCAATGTTCCTACTGGTGTTTATGCAGAATACCAGTATGGAATTGTCCCTACTGTAACCACTGTTAACCCTGCAGTGCCATTGTGGTTTGGAACTCAATTTACCTATTCCCCCACACTCAGTGCATTTGGGGTTTTATTCTTCTTTGCTTCCTTCCTAATTTCCGTAGCAAAATATAAGAGCCTAGTATAATGGCAGCTTTACATCCGAGATTGGAATTTGGCCCACCATAAATAATGGTTCAGTTATTTTTCATTGGTTGACAAACCCCCTATTTTAACATGCTGTGACGCTGACTTGTTTTCTACATTTCCCCCCTATATGATCTGATAGCAAATAACAGCTTATATATGTTTTCCCAACTTGGAATGTCAGTATCCTCAAGATCACTAAACTTTGTAATACGATTTAAATTTTACTGACATTTTAGGACATAAAACATTTATATCTACTTGATAATATAAAGATCCTTGGTTAACTGAGGGCACGTCTACATGTGCAATGAATGTGCCTTAAGATTACTGTGCGTTAAAATAAGGCACAGTAAACTGCACCTGGAAATGAGTCTACACATATGCCTGCATTGGGAGCAAATGTAGTCCTAGTGGGAGCAGTTGAGTCGAGGGCTGCTCCTGCCCTCCTTCCATGATCTGCCCCCCTACACAGCCAGGGGACCTCCAGGCTCCCCCAGTGCCAGTCCTAGGCTGGCAGGAAGCAGGGAGGGGCAGGGGGTCAGGCCTGAGTGCCAGGGAGTGGGGGGGAACTGTCTGAGAGCAGGGGACAGCTTCTGGCCATGTGGAGCTTGGGATGACCGGTT